GAATTCGTAGTTCACCCACCTCTTATTTTACGACTACACCCCTGATCATTCCGTTCTGTAAGGGGATATGGTACACAGGTGGATTCTGGCATGATGGTATGATCTGGTTGTGCTACGTTGCTACCTGTCTCTATAAACAGAGATGGGTAACCTGGTGCTAACATTAACGTGAGGTAATGGCATTAGGCTGTACTGATTATAATTTGAGATCCAACTTACTGTATCAACTTAAGCCACTTTCTTTTCACTTTTTCCGAGGTAAAAAACGGCAAAAGATAGTTTTGTCAACATCATTCTGCTTTTACAACACGGTACGCCGCACTAGTTTGGACCCACAAGTGGCATGATGACGTAGCAACTAGCCATCCCAGACAATGCTGGCGTTTATTTATTTTTTTTGTTTTTTTTTTTAGGGGGGGGGTGCCCTCGCGAACGTTTTGCCCAGGGGCCCACACAACCCATAATCCGTCCCTGAGTGCAAATACAGTCACCTTCAGCCACAAGAAGCGATTCATGTACTTGAATAATGTACCTTTAAATGTACCCGGCTCCTTTAACAATTTAATTCCCCTCTATTTCTAATATGTTTGACACTTTGTTGAAGTCATCCTGGTGCAATATTTTTCCTATTCTGTCTTCTATAATGCGGCGATTAGCTTCGAACTCGGGACCGTAACACCTGGAAATGATATGACATCGAACCAAATCTCAAAAGTAATCAGAAATCAGCACATTTTCAATATTCACTGTGGCGATTACGTCAGGGGAGGCAATCCGTGGCAGGGGGGCAATTTGGTGCACAACACCTGCACTTTCAACAGGAAAACAAAGAGGTGCCGGTATCCACTTCAAGCACTGAGAGGTTGTTGCTTTTGAAATACAAGTTAAATCTTAAAGAAACAATCACAACTTTCCAACAAACACTTTAAAGGTTCCCTGTAACTCTGTGTCCTCATCTCTGCTTTTCCAGTAAAGCCAGGGGAAGATGTTGTCTATTCTGAGGTAAACATCTCTGACCGCTCCCGTGGACAAAAAGGTGAGGAGTTAATGTAAGCCAAGCAGTTACAACTGAAGACATGCAAAGATTTCTTAAGAAATGACACTTTAATAAAGAGGTTTTCCCACAGAGATTAAAAATAATCCATCTCTTTCCTACCCGCTTATCCTGTTCAGTCTCGGGGGTGAAATGAAAGATTATATATAAGGATCAGAAACATGCTGTTGTCAGGTTTGCAGCTCAGTAAGAGA